ATTACACAATATGAAATTTATCATTTTACGATTCAGTACGCATTAGTGAATTACGATGCCATCTAGAATCAGAAACGGTCCAGTTGCGATAAACTTTTGAAATAGCGAAAGAGAAACAGCCACGGATGGGCTATGGCGAATGCATAACCTATGGGTAATGCATTCGCCATAGCCCACGGAGGAGGAGCAGGGCCCTCCTTGACTTTGTAGGGGCTAGAGCTGCCACTTGAACAGGGAAGCAATCTTGCAGAAGTTTAGATGTGTTAGGAAGAGACTGGAACAGACACATTGTGTCCGGTAGATAGGTGGAAACTTACCTATATCTAAGAGGTAGGTAAGGCGGAGCGTTTACCAGTACCGATTGTTACGTTAATTCTAACGGTTCATTTTTCCTCACTGATCTGTCTGGTGAAAATGTGAGCTGCTAGCTGAGCTGAATGACCGGGAGTAAACGCATTTTAGCGTTAGTTGCATTGCAGCCGACGGGCGCAGAGTGATCTGTGACGTCACGAATCAGTAGTTCTCCCGCTGCCCATAGATGACGCTAGTGTGGTCTACGCATCCCGCCCATAGATGGCGCTGATACATGTTGCCACTTCTCGCGGCCGGAGCAGCCTACCTTTCTATAGAGCCTTGGATAAATGGGACACTCATTCATTCTTCGTCATCGTCGATGAGAAATGAGCCACGGAAACCAGACAGACTGCGGCGCAGTGGGTAAGTGACATGGGTGTAGGATCGTTCGGGTAATAATAAAAGTTCACAGAGCTGAAACGGTTTCGGTGTAACAGGAAGCGTCTCGAGGACAGAGGATATGGAGCGGACATTTATGATGTTCAGACGAAATAAAAAAAAACTTCCTGCTCTCGTGTAAGCAGGTCTGGGTCGGCAATTGTAAATGAAATAAAGTAAAACGGTCGTGAGATATAAAGACTTGTTAATCGCTTGAAGACCTGTTGATAATCATCGTAAGTGAGGTCAAAATAAACCAATAAATGAAGAGGAGAATGAGAAGAATGACTCTTCTGGTGTGTACAGCAGCAGCCCGAAAAGCCTCCCGCTCCCCCACCTGCATTGTGGCTATAGGGTGCAGTGCAGCTCAATTTTGATATCAAATATTTTTAATATTTCATTGTATTGCTGTTCCTATCAATACAAGTTTCAGCTCTATGTTTTATCAGCGTCAGAAATAAATGGGATAGGTGTGCTATAGGAAAGCCATGATCAGCTAGTGCAAATAGCACTTACACCCGAATACACTTGATTCGTGTGTCATTCCTCCACGAAATACCTGTGCATCATTAGGTGAATGACCTCCGATTGCTCCCTTTTCAGAGCCGCCGCAAAACTGCCACGTAACGGCAGACAAATAAAGAAATACAGTGGAACAAGTGTCACAAGTGTGCCACTTTTGTCGCCCAACACGCCCACAAGTGCGCCACTTTTGTCGAACAACACACGGCAGGAGCTGACTGGTATGGGGATTGTGTTAGCATGAACTCAGACAGCGACTATTTGTATAGTGAATGCAGGCATAAAATAGGCGCACATAGAAAATATTATTTGGTTTTCATGACCACAAAAAATATTTCATAGAGTCTCAGGAGAGATATGTGGTTCTCATTGGTATCTAAACCACGACAACCCGTTGTGAATGGGGCGTTAATGTAGCAAATGAATTCCGACAATTTCTTATTCCTGCGCTAGCTTACGCTCGACAACATGTCTTATCCAAGCCTAACCAAAAGGAGAGCCAAATAAGATCTAGGAAAAGAGGTAGCCGAATAATCAAATGGCTCATCTCGTGCATGAATGGGTAAAAATAGATCCATTCACGCAGAGCGGATAAGCATTGATAAGTGTACAGAGCGGCAACAGCTGTTCACCGAACTATCCTCAATAGGATAGCATGAGAATTAGTCTCTATGAATGTCATTACATTATCGAGGAACTTCGGTAAATGTATACCACGAAGAACAAAATGGGACATAACACTTCCTAGCATTGCATGAGAGGTGAATATGTAATATTTCCGGTCTAATATTCGTTAGTTGCCATTCATATCAAATATACCGACATGTAGCGTTGATTAACCTCTTTGTCATGCTTTTTATACTCGATTGCGATGTGTTTGTGACGAGTCAACGTGATTTTGTAAACAGAAATAACTGTGAATAAATGCTGCATGATTTTTTCTTTACCATTTCTTTTCTGCCTATAGGGTAGGGTGGGGTAATTTGAACATGTGGGACAATTTGAACATATAGTGTGAAAAACACAAAATTACGGAAAATCCATAAGTGGCATGACAATATGACCAATGAGGGAAATTATCGTAACTAAAAGGGCTATCATATGAACGGGGTTTCAAGTTTCATGGAATGAAGATGCTGACGCACACTGTAAAAAATCATTTTCGCAAGTAAAAACGCCTAAAAACACGTCATTGCAACTTCATTGCAGCGCAAAATCTTGCATTGCTAGCGCCTAATACGCAACGGCTTTTGTTGTACAATGACCTAATCAATGCCTTCAATACAAGAAATTTGCTTTTGAAACCTGTTTTTAAATATGGCAAAATAACTTTTAACGTGGGGTTATTTGAACATAGTGTAGGAATTTCAATCAAGACAGGGATAGCTCCGAAAAAAACAACGCTCCCAGTTTTTTTCCAATATTTTCGACCCAAAGCAGTAGCAGATACGTGATGCCAGTTTTATAAAATTTACGTCTAATGTCCGTCTAATGTCCGGCATTTTTGTTGATTTCCGTTCAAAAATGTTAAAGTCAGCCATTTGTCCAAATATGTCCGAAAATAACGCATTAATTAACACTCAAAACTGTCATTTAAATTGCTTATAATGTACTTTTACCAGCCGAAAAGTGTTCATTATATTGAGAGCTTAACAAACTTTCCATTCGCCAATCAATGCTATGCACGATTACTTTATAAAAAGCGCTGAAGTGTAGCAAGCCATCGTCCAATGTTGTCCAGTCTGCTACCTTTGTCCTACCAATTCCGAATTGGACATTGGACAAAATCAGAACTCCAAATGTCCAGGTTTCGATTGGCACCACTATAACAGATGCAGTAAGGATGGGAGAGTTTTTATCGAACAAAAATGATAGACGTTCTGTTAATTGAAGACAGGCGAATTCTGTCAACTGACCGGTGTGCAGTGTGCAGATATTGATACTCTGCAACTGTTATTTTTGTTGTTGTGTTGATTTTTCAAGTGAAGGTATGTTTAGAATTGTTCTGCCTATTTGTTTATGGGTCAAACAACATCGGTGTTGGCGAGACTATCGTTTTTATGACAGATAAAGGCAGTATGTTCAAATTACCCCACGGTGGGGCCATTTGAACACACCGTGACTTGGTGGAGAAGTGAGGCTATGCTTTTCAAGGCATGCTCGGCTCGTCCAAAAATGAGGCTTGCATGGTGAAAGCAAGTGACACTTGCGCTACTGAAGCAGTTTTTCTTCATCCAGGGTTAAGCTGGAATTTGGTACAACGGAGAAGACGTAAAAATATGTTCAAATTACCCCACACTACCCTATGATTTCAGCTCAGCTGGAGAAACGGGCTACGGGCTACTGAAAGCTCTACTCTACGATTTATTGCCAACGCACATTAGATTTTTATCAACTTTTTTTATTTCGTGGGCCGTCCTGGTCAAAGTTCCACCAAGTTCCCACTGCGATCAAAACAGGTGCAGTGAAAGAAATCTCCAGCACCAACACTTCTTTCACGCTCCCCACCAGCTATAAGATGAAATAAAACTTCGTGACGAAATGAGCTCCAGGACGAAGTTTCTAAACTCATAAAGACGCTTTATAAACAAATCCACTTCATTCGCATGATACCGTGAAATCCTCAAACACCACCAGCATAAGAACGAAGTCACTTCCAAGAAAAAACGACGGCGACACGAGCCGAAGCTTGTTCAGGTCCCCGCTGGAGGAAAACAGCGTCAGTCGAGCGGTTTATTGAATCAGCTGTACCGTCGGGACGAAAAAATTCGGTTATCTGTGAACCCAGTGCCGACATCGACGGTATTGGCGGTTCGACGGCTACGGCGGCGGCGGCATGGCGACGACAGAAACGGCCGCTTCTTGCCCACGATAAAAGCGCAGTGTTCCTACAGATCCAGATATGGATATCTCACGGTGTGATGCCGTCCGCGGCTAGCAGCGATGAAATATATGGGTTGAAAAATAACTGGCGATAGATTGTAGCCGTCAACCATAGAGCGATGGCAGCTAAAATCAATTCAACTGACGGGTTAATGCATCAGCCAACCTTCCGAAGGTTGATTGATGTCTTACAAAAGAACCTGACTGGTTTGTCGTATAAAAAAAAAAAAAACTTAGCCAATGTCATCCAATCAGGCGAGACCGATACCTTTTGTCATCATTTGAACATCGGATCAAAAGTCCACGCTTCACACCATTCCAAACATCACCAAAACAACAGCGGCGGATAACACTCCCCCGTTCAACCCGCCAAGTGACTTTTATCAACCGGCACCTACATTGGCTGGTATTGACATTGACTAACACGCTCGATTGTATTCACAGGGCCAACGCGGAGCCGGACGCCGGAGTCCAAACTGGGAAATACGGAACGTTTTAACTGCGAACGGTGTCCCGCATACAAAAGCGGAAAGGACGCGCCGAGCGGAATGGGGGGGAGGGGGGGGGGGGTGGAGCCCAGCTGCCCACGGGGGAAAGGGGGGGGCGGATGGAGGAGGGAGGATGGGTAGCACGGCACAGCAGCAACTACAGGGCGGACGGAGCAGAATGAGCGAGCGGACTGCAGAGCGGGACGGTAAAACGGCGACGGAATAGAGCAAACATTGGACAGAGTACAGCCCTCTGAATCATATCCTCGCTCAGCAGCAGGCCCGTCGGAATTTCCATCCAACATGGCACCAACCGATCCCCTATTCATCGCATACAATGCCGTGCCCCATCTGTGCTCCGTAAAACTGCACGCCTGTGACGTATTCTCACAGGTGCGGCCTAACACTGACGCCACATACAGCTCGTCGCCCGGGGCATTTTGCCGTTGAGTTCGAGAGAGAGACATGGCTGCTCGCGGTGGTGTCTTTCTACCACTTCTACTGCTTCTGGTAGGGGTATCTGCAGTCCCAGCAAAACCACAGGAGTTTGAGAAGAATGGTGAGGTTGAAGTGTTGAATATCACGAAGTTGGGGAAGCTGATTGAGACCAGGAAATGGCTGGATGAAGCAGAGGTGGAAGTGTTTGATGACGTGGATCTGGTAGCTGGAGAGACGGTAGAAGAGGGGAACAGGCAGTACTGGTCGCCGGTAAGTGTAGCGAAGTGAGTCCAGTCTCAAGAAAGTTTTTGCCAGATTTGTGAACTAGATACTTTTTATGCATTAGATTTGTTCTAAGATTTGTGTAAGACGGCGCGGTAGGTCTTTTGTTCTTGATACCTACATATTGGTGGATACATTTTTTTCGATTTCGGATAAACATTATAAGCTGATATTTCCAAGGCAGATATTCCTTGAAAAAATCATCAAACATTATAAACAATGCTTAGGTATAAAACGGCTCAAATAGGAAGCAATGTGTGTGTACAGGAAGTAAAGTTTTGCAATGCTCGCTACCAACTTCTACAGTCAATCAACCATGATATATGCAAAGTTCAAACTTCATACCGGCAAAGTTCCTATAACTTCCATATTTCCTGAATCATCTTTCCCTACCGCATTCCTTTATCCGCTGAATCCCGTTGTCCGCACTGTCCTGAAACACCAACGCGGTTAATTTCAGCGCCTCGATACTCAACGCTTTCTCGAGGAGCATTAATTAGCGCCTTGAGTGAAACGCTCGACTGCGAAACACGGAAAACACGCTGAAGCTGACACCCGACAGCGCGAGGGCCTCGTTAACCCTATTAGTGGCAGGGGGGGGGGGGGTTGTTTTTATCCACCCCTCAGGTTTTTCGGGAATATCTCCGAAACCGCTGAAGCTACGATGCTGAAATTTTCTGACTTTTCCTAAAACTAAATTGGGCACATGCTCTGAAAATTTCAAGTTAATAACTTTACCAGGGGCGGCTCCAGAGCACTGGGAATTGGGGGGTCCTATTCGTGAAGCGAGTCATTTGGGTGAAGATCACGATGCTGCACCAGTTTTACGAACAGTGAATGAAAGGTATCATGTGATAACATATACAAAGTTATTGTGCAATGTGCATCCTCTTTTGACACGTTTTTGCTATAATTTGCGGATCCAGGCGTCCAAAAAGGGGGTTTATTTTTTACCTCCCAACATAGGTGCCCTGACACCGCCTATGCATGACCAATACAATTTTAGTCGTTCTCTCATAAGAAAATTGTAACATGACAAGACCATTGCCACCCTTTTTAGAAACAGTACCAACAAAAACCTTATTTACTATACTTTTTGTGTACCCCCAATCTCAATGATCTGTATCCGCCTATGATTTTTGAAAATGCATATTTTTAGGATCCATGTGAATTCCTGGTTCATTCTCTATCGATCGGCAAAAGTTGCGTTAAGATTGGTTCAGAAACCTGGCCGTGATAAACAGTCTAAAATGTATCTGCAATTTGCCCGTTTTTACCCCCCTCTACCCCCCTATTGACATTTTTTAATTTTATTTTTTTTAGAAATGTAGATCTCGTTGAGCCAAATCGAATGCCGTTTGAATTTTGAAAATCGGCCGGTTAGATCTCGAGATATCAAGGGGGGGGGGTCGTAAACAGCCCCCCCCTGCCACTAATATGGGGTAGCCAGGAGCCTGCCACTAATAGGGTTAAAGTCAGCACGTGCTTACAGTGCCGGCATAAGCGCTGATGAGTGTTTGCTGATTCATAATAACGGCGCCAGGCTTTGTTAAAGAAGACGTAGCGTCGTTTTCGGTGAAGGCGGATGCTTGGGGTATAATGATGGCGACTTCGCTGATGTCAAGTTTAATGAGGGCCCGACTTCTGCCCTGCGGCACGCTCGTCATCAGCCAAGAAGAGGAACGACACATTGAATTAATGTGATGATGGTGATGTTTGGTGGATTGATTTTGAGATTTGGTGAATATCTGGGGACAAAATGTTGTATCAGTCACGAAAAAGGAAATTCCTAGCGAACTATCGGCTACCGCATAATCCCTTTAGCAATCCCTTCAGATCACTTTTGTAGTATCTAGTTCCTTCGCACCTTTCAATTTCCACAAGAGATTTTGCATCAGCTGTCATTTCTCCCTCCCAATTCCAGCCCTCCCTTTCCCTCGTCCAGCCATGCATGACCTCTCTCCCCCCCCCCCCCCACTTCCCCTCCACACCTGCAGCGGACCACGTTTGACTAATCCACCAACTACGCCTGCAAACTCTGCTACAAACTCCAAACTCCGGGTCGGAAACCCGCGCCGTTACGTCGCCCGGAAAATTCCGGTCGCAAATTCTGTCCGCAGTTCTGTCCGTAATTTTGTCCGCAATTTTCCACGCAAATTGTGTCGTTCGAACGGGAGGTCGTCTGTCGGTGACATCGACGGCACTTGTTTAACTAAGCACATGAATCCCAAACTGGGCAAACTCGGTTGGTCACGAGCTTTGGCAGAGTCTGACGCTGACAAAGGGGAAGGGAGGTGTGTGGGGGAGGGAGGGGTCGACAGGTAGGAGGTTGACGTTGGACTGCATGTTGTCTATAGCGAGAGCCGCGTAAAAGCCTCGATTGCATTGGTTCACTTCGAAGGGACAATGTTGGCGTCTGGATGTATTGGGTTTCCATTTTTCAGTCCGTTATCCCTTCATATTTTTCTTCTTCTCTGACCCTTCCATTTCTGTCTGTCTGTCTGTCTGTCTGTCTGTCTGTCTGTCTGTCTGTCTGTCTGTCTGTCTGTCTGTCTGTCTGTCTGTCTGTCTGTCTCCCCCTCTCTTTCACACTCTCTCTCTCTCTCTCCTCTCCTCTCTCTCTCTCTCTCTCTCTCTCCCTCTCTCTCTCTCTCTCTCTCTCCTCTCTCTCTCTCTCTCTCTCTCCCTGTCATCCCTAAATAACTTCCTTACTCCTTCTCATCTCCTCCACAACTGTCCGAGCGGTTTCTACAAGTAGAGGTCCTCCTATAAACCGCTAATTAACCCTCATACCCCTTTTACTCTTTCTAGAACTGCCCGAACGGTTTCTACAAGTACCGGTCCATTATATCCTCCTTTATCCCCTTTCAGAACTGCCCCAGCGGCTTCTACAAGCACTGGTCCCTGAAAACACCCTTTTATTCCCCTTCAGAACTGCCCAGCGGCTTCTACAAGCACTGGTCCATCTATACACCCTTAAATAATCCCTTAATACTCCTCTCTATTTCCAGAACTGCCCCAGCGGCTTCTACAAGTACTGGTCAGCTTCGAACGTGGCCAGCATCTGCTACACCATCGGCACCACCAAGAAGGACTGGTTTGACGCCAAGGAGGCCTGCGAACGTCTCACACCGCCGTCCAGCAGATGCTTCAGCACCCTGGCGAGCGTGATGAACGGCAATGAGAACCACTTCATCAGCACTTTGATGGGTTAGTGAAGGGAGGAAAGGGGATGGAAGGAGAGGAGAGAGGATGGAAAGGGAGGAGAGAAGAGGGGATGGAAAGCTAGGGATGGAAGCGATGGGGATGAGGGCAGAGACGAAAGAGTAGATATGAAAAGGCATGGTCGGGTAAAAAGATATCGAGTGAAAGGATAGATGAAATATAATAAGATATTATAATATAATAATAATATATTGTATTAATTATATATGATATTGCAGCTGTTTTGCTGTAATATTAGGTATATTGTAGCACAATTAACATTAAACAAATATGTAACCCACATAAGTAGGTACCCAGTTGTGTTTACCCTCGCCCGCACATGCCATTTCCCATCCTAGAACGCACATGGGGGGGGGGGGTGCCACCCCCCGCGCCATTTCGTTCCTGTTAGAGATAGAGCTTCGTGGTAAGGACCAAAAAGATTTTTTTTGGGAAAAGACGAATCCAATGATACCCAGTTTTACCTTCTCAGGTCAGTCATTGACCTTCCAGGTCAGGTCAAACTAAAAATGTTGCTGTTTTGGGTCACCGTTGGATATCAAGTGCGCTACTTAGCATATACCGATGACGATGCCGTTTTCTGGTGCCAAGCCAGCTAGAACCTCTTTGTCACACTACCCGACCAGGTTTTTGCTGCTGAGGTCATCTCAGGTCAAGTTAGGTCAAGGTCAATGATATGTGTTTGTATGTCTGTGTGTGTCTGTGTGTATACTGATGTGTGCACCGATTGTTTATGTGTCCATATTACATGAAATCATGATCTGAGAAGCTTTTACCAGAAATGCAGTAAAAAATTTCACGAAAAGTAAATTAAACTTGCCTGAAACGCAATTATCTTACATGACCTAGGTTGACCTTGACCCTGACCTTGACATCTGTACATCGTCGATTAACATGTTTCCATGATAGGTGGGAGGTAAGACTGGCAAAAAAGGCCGAAGGGAGGTAAGACTGGCAAAAAAGGCCGAAATCGAGGTGACCTGAAAAACAAAGTCATGTCTCCGAAACCAAAAACCACAGAAACTTGAAATTTTCAGTGGACGTCAAGAAAGGATAGAGGAGCAGCTATACGAAAAAAAACAGGCTTCTAGCTCTAAAATATTGAGTGCAGAGCAGAAAAACTACCTGGGGGGTGGCACCCCCCATGTGCGGGCGAGGTTAAATAATTACGAGCGAGCGAGCGCAGCGAGCGAAGCGAGTCTTTTCAATATAACGGAAAAATCTCAGTATGAGCGGCCCGGCCCGGCCCGCCCGGCCCGGCCCGGCCTGTAACGCTTTTGAGAGGCTTATATCTCAGCAACCACTGGACCGATTGGCCTGCGGTCT